AAACACACGATCAACACCTCTCAATGAAAGCACCAATGATGAGGATCGTGTGTTTCGACTGCCGATAAGCCGCGAACCCGCGCCTTGAATCGCCGATAGTGTTTCTCTAGCACAACCGTGCCTATTGAAACGATAAAATTACAATAGTATTCTGGTGAAAAGACTAAAGCAAAGTTGGAAGAATAAAGTTCTAGATTTCTATTAACTTCTTGGATGATGATAAATAACATGGGGTAAGGGCCTTTATATAGGCACAAGATTTGTCTAAGTCTAATCTACCTAGGAAAATAATAAAGCAATAAAATATTAGGAATCCTAAACAAGCTAGAAATCATAATGCTAGTTGGAAACTAAATCTCTTGGTGTGCACTCCAAGCAATCCTCTCTCTCTCTCCTACTCTTGCGCACACATGCCCCTAGGTCGGTCGCCGCCATAGTCCACGCCCTAGTCCTTGCGGACTAGGGCACCGCCCCTTTCGCGCGCGTGTCGCTCATCCGGCGTGCTGCGTACGCCGTCACTCCTTGCCGCCTCAACGCGCGCGTGCGCCCCGCCTGGTTGTCCGCATTCCTCGAGGCATGCGGCATCCAGCTCCGTGCATGCCTGCTCGTCATGCGCGCTCCGCGCGCCCCGCTCGTCCATCCCTGCTGCGCGTGCGTCTCTGCCAATCGCCCACATCCCGTCAGTGCTTGCGCCCATCGCTTCGCGCGTACTGCTGCCGCGCGCTACGCGTACTCCCGTACTTGTCGCGCCCCATGCCCATCCGCGGTGTGCGCCTGCCGCACCCATCGTCCGTACTCCCGCGTGCTGGCCTTCTTCGTTTGTCCCACACGCACTACTCTCCAGTGCGCGCACCTCTGCTGCTTCCCGTGCTAACCTCTTACGTGCGTGGTAAGCGCGACTCGCGGCGTTCTTGAGTTGCCTAGCCACTTCCGCATCACAGGGGAACAACGTGCGCAGTCACGCGCGCAGGAGCAGGTGCGCACGGGCGCAGCACACGGGCGCAGCGCGCGGGCAGCACGCGTGATGAGGATCGTGTGTTTCGACTGCCGATAAGCCGCTAACCCGCGCCTTGAATCGCCGATAGTGTTCTTCGAGCCACAACAGCGCCTCTTGGAACGAATAAAATTGCAATAGTATTCTGGTGAAAAGACTAAAGAAAAGTTGGAAGAACAAAGTTCTAGATTTCTATTGATGTCTTGAATGATGAAAAATAACATAGGGGAAGGGCCTTTATATAGGCACTAACTAGATCTAATCCTAATATAACTATAACTCTAATAAAGTAATAAAATATAAAGTAACCTAAACAATCTAGATATTATAATGCAATAAGGAAACCAAATAGCTAGGGGATCTAATGTCTTGGCTTGCACTCCAAGTAGTCTTATCTTGCACTCCAAGTAGAAGACTTTCCAACCACCTCTCTCTCTCTCTCACGCCACCTATGTCTTCCCGCCGCCTCACGCCTCTTTGCCTTAGTCCTCGAGGACTAAGGTCGCGTTTCCTACGCCCGCCTATCCACTTGCCTCGAGGAGTAAGGTCTCGCGCCTTGTGTACGCTATTCCTATTCCTTGAAGGATCAGACTTCGAGCCCATATCCACCTTGCCTATTCCTACTAGGAATATGCTCCCGGCTACGTTGCCTGATCTTCCGAGGATTACTCCCGTCACCGATCCTTCACGCGCCATCACGACACTCAACTGCTTTTCCTAGTCCTGCGGGGTCTAGGATTTGCGCCTTGCCTATTCCTATGAGGACTAGGCTTGCTGCCTTGGTCTTGCCTCGCCCTTCGGGTGCGCACGCGATCGCACCCTTCGCCCGCGTGACCATCTCGTATGTGTCGCCCAGCTTGCCTAAGCCTACTAGGCCTAGGTCTTCGCCCATCCCACACGCGTCGCCAACTGCGCACGCGGCTCGCCCATGCGCCGCCTGCTCCCGCGTGTCCTTGTCAACCACGCGGCTGCTACCCACGCTCGATAACCCCACGATATTCCTGCGCCTGTCCACTGGCCCGCGTGTCCCGCTCAGTGCCCCAGAGCTCCGTTCATCTATTGTGCGCCTTCGTGCGCTTAGTGCTGTCCGCGTATCGTCCAGCGCTCGATGCGTGCTTGTCCATTTGCTGCAATCCCTCGTGTGCATCAACCTCCCAACATCCTCCTCCTGTGCACCACTTCGCCTAATCTCTAAGCGCCATGCGCGTCTACGCCAATGTGCATGTTCGCGCCCCTCCTTGCGGTCGTCCCACGTGCACGCTGTCCACCAAACATCCACCCCTCGCGCACCACTCGTCCCCTCAGCAATGTAAACGCCTGAGGCCTTAGCCTCTAAGCGTCGTACGCGCCGCTCCCTTCCGCACGCCTTGCACCAGTCGACCGCATCGCCCGAGTCTGCTATCGTACACTCAGCCCTGGTCCACTGTGCGTAGTCTTTCCTCCATTGCCCTAATGTTGCATGCCGATAGACTACCTTCTCGCGTGCCCTTGCGCACATCCATGCACTCGACCCTTCAAGCCTTGATCTCTCGAGCCTCTTGCTCGACCTCCTATGCCATTGTGCATGTCGGCACCCTCGCATACGGGCTCGTGTACGTCTCCTAGGCCATGCAAGCCTTGTTTCCGCCCTTTGCTCGGACTTGTCCATTAGTCTCGGCCCTCGGACCTTCTCTTCTTCGGGGGTCGAAACCCACTTCCGTATCATTCCCGCCCCCTTTAAGAATGTCCTTGTCCTCAAGGACTCATCATCAACCATTAATTGGGGTGTCCTCACCTTGTACACATCATGCATCTCTTTGCTACGGCCTTTTTCGATCACGGCCGAAACCTTCTTCTTAACTTCGACCAAAATTCCTTCGCCCTCGACAAAGTACTCATCGGCGTATACATCGTAGATAGGCGGTCCTTCATAATCCTTCGACTCGTACTCGATGGGCCTTACATCCTTAAAATATTTTGAGAATACAAATGGAAGGATAGGCTCCTTACACCTTTCATCGATCCTGCTTTCTTCCTTGTCGGACTTTGCTTAGTACGCGTTTGGTTGCTCTACTCAACTCACGTATCTCGGATTGTTGCTGCTCGATCGTCCAAACCTCTTGCACCTCGCCTTCGACCTTAGTTTCCTCGACTTCTTCGACGTACATGGGTTCATCTTTGGGGTATACGTTGAAGATAGGTGGGCCATCATAACCCATCGAGTCTTGCTCGATCTCTCCGAAGTAGTCGTCGAACAGAGGGAGATCTTTGTACTCGACCTGCTCGACCGTGCCCGCATGTGCGCTTGCCTTCTTGACGGTGAAGATCTGGTCGCCCACATGTCAAACCCTCTCTATACTCTTGAGGCCAACCTCCTTGGTCCCACCGTCCTTGCTTGCTTTTAACGTGACCCGATGCTCCCCTGAGTTGAACTCCATGACTCTCGTTCGATAGTTGGTGGTCACTTTGCCTAATCCCTCGAGCCACTGCACTCCTAACACATCGGGTCCAACCAAGGGTAGCGCATATGGTGACTCCTTGAAATTTGATCGGTACCCCGCGATAAGACTTGGTGCACCTTAGCCGTTCACCATTGGCTACTCCAACCTCAAATGGTTCGACCTTCGTCGTTGGCAACTTCAACTTTTGAGATAGCATCGCGTTGATGAAGTTGTGTGACGATCCGTTGTCCACTAGCACAACTACATGACGGTCCTTGACCCATGCTGGTATCCGCATCGTCCTCGGTCCTCTCGTTCCAGCCATTGCGTGCATTGAGATTTCAGCCTCCTCTTTGGGAACACCAATCTCGACTTCTTTCTCCCAATCCTCCTCGATCTCGGGCTCTTCATCATCGATGACGTGGATGACAAAAGCCTGCTTGCAGTGATGGCCAGGCGTAAATTTCTCGTCGCACTTGAAACAGAGTCCCTTCTCACGTCGGTGCTTTATTTCCTCGGGCGACAGTGTTAACCTCCGGGACTGGTGGTCGAGAACTATCGGGTGGTCGGCCGCTCGGAAACATATTGCTTGCGTCCGGTTGTGCGCGTCGCGTCTCGGGGTAGCGTGCATCCGCCCGTCCCCTTCGAGTTGCCACAAGATGATCTTCTCGGCGTCGGGCCACCTCCATGGCTTTATGCATCGTGTTTGGCCGCTCCAGTCGGACTTCTGCGGCTAGATCGAACCTCAGCCCACCTATGAAGGCTCCTACTACTGCATCCTCAGACCAATCTCGCACGCGGCAGGCCAGTTGTTCAAACTCCTTGATGTACTCATGCAAATTGCCTATCTGGCGTATTCGTGCGAGAGCCTCATTGTAGTTATGGTAATCGGACGTACCAAAACGTGTGAGCAATTCTCTCTCAAAGTCAGCCCATGTAATGATCTGTTGCCGCCTACGGTAGATCATTGAGAGCCATTGCCACCATACATTGGCCTCACCATCCAGGTAGAATGCTGCGTACCTTACTCGGTTGTGGCCTTCGGTTTCATTCAGTTCGAAGTATTGCGCAATACGGTTGAGCCAAGCCTCCGGATCACTACCCGTGAAGGTGGACATTACGAACCTCGGCTTGTCGGGCTTTGGTCGTTCTCGGTAGGTGGACGCCTGCGACCGTTGGTCGAACTCCTCCTCGTGTTCGTAACCCTCGCGTCGCCTGTTCTCGTCCTGTTCGCGCGCGCGCCATTGCTCGCGTTGATCCTCGCGCCGTGGGGATGGTGTGCGGTCAGCGTGCTCGGCGTGTCGGCGCGGTTCGCGCCTTGGGGGATCGTCGTAGTGATGTGTAGGTTGCTGCTGGAACGCGCGCAAGACTTCCTCTAATCGCCGTTCGAGTCGTGTGACAACCACGTTGGTGTTGTTTTGACTTTCGTCAAGCGATCCAAGCCTTCCTTCCATAACCTCGCTCATACTTTGCATCTGGATGTCAAGATTATCGATTTTATCCTTCATCTCCTTGTTGGCCATGGCTTTTTTTTTCCTCTCTTCGCTCTTTGCTTTGTGGACTCGTGGTTGAAGATGATGAGGATGATGATGATCAACGATCAAATATTTTTTTTTTTTTTTGATATAAGAGG